AAGGTAGATCAAATGTATGAATTTCTCTACAAATCAGCTGTTTGTGCGTCGAAGCGAGACAGGGCAAAGACAGTAGATTCGGAGAAAAAAAGGGACGAGCCTTCAGCAAAAAGGAAACGCAATTATTCTTTGAATCAAGCGTTTACGCTAAATACATCGCATAATTGTGCAGTATGCAAAACCAAACGCCATCCTTTATTCTCGTGCGACAAGTTCAAGCAACTGCCCGTGTATAAACGCATCGAAGTAGTAAAGAGAGCACGGGTCTGCTATAATTGTTTGCGATCACACCTGGGCATCGCTTGTAAGTTTGCAAACTGCTCAGTATGTCAAAAACGCCACAATACTATGCTACACATAAATAATTATTCAAATGCGAACAAATCGAACCCTTCTCAAGCTGAATCTGTACAGACCGAATGACAATTCGAAATAACCGATGGTAAGGCGACGAGTCTCGCGATGTTAAACATTTCCGCTCCGCAATTAATGACGAGCGCGTTGGTATATATACACAGCCACAAACGGCCACCAATCGAATGTCGGGTTCTATTAGATACATGCGCCAGTGCTAATTTTATTTCAGAAACGATCGTGAAACGCTTAGACGTTCCAATAGTTAAGCATTCGTCACAAATCGGCACAATTAATAGCATGAATACAGAATCAAGGGGCATGGTTCACATCATTATACAATCTAGATATGACAGTTTTTCCAAGCAGTTAACATGCTTAACTGTACCAGCGATTTCGGGTTTAGTACCTACTGAAATTTTTCCGCGCAGCTCCATCAGCGTGCCCTCAAATATTCGATTGGCGGATCCGGAATTCCACTTACCGCGTCCGGTCGACTTATTAATCGGTTCCGGAGCGACGTTGTCGCTATTTGCGATCGGTCAAATAAATTTGTCGAAAGAAAATTATGATTTATACCTCCAAAAAACTCGTTTAGGTTGGGTGGTAGCCGGAGGGGCATCCACGCCGAATCCTTCTAAAAACGTCGTATGTCATTTAACAAACTTAGAGAATTTATTGTCTAAATTCTGGGAAATTGAAGAAGTCATAATAAATAAACCATTATCGGAAGAGGAAAATGAATGCGAGAAGCATTTCATGGAAACGGTTTCACGTAACGATGACAGCCGGTATACTGTTCGGTTACCATTTCGTAAGATAGATAAACATCTAGGCGTATTACGTGCTATTGCTTTTAGATGTTTATTATCTTTAGAACGTAAATTGGAAGCTAATGTGACGTTAAAAACTGCTTACATGCAAGTGATAGACGATTATTTAAAATTAGGACACATGTCTCGAGTCAGCGATTCCGAGGAAAAGGGATACTATATGCCTCATCACGCGGTGATTAAAGACGCGAGTAACACCACGAAGGTACGAGTGGTTTTCGATGCATCCGCGAAAACGAATAATGGAATGTCCTTGAATGATTTATTAATGGTAGGACCGACTATCCAAAACAAATTAGTAGCTCATTTAATCCGGTTCCGTACCTACAACTACGTTCTCACGGCGGATATCGAAAAGATGTACCGTCAGGTATGGGTACACCAGGAAGATCGACATTATCAGCGAATTCTGTGGCGCGTGAATAACGAAGTAGAAACTTTTCAATTAAATACGCTTACGTTCGGCGTTTTTTCATCGTCGTTCTTGGCAATTCGCACGATTCAGAAACTCGCGGATGATGAATGTCACGCGTATCCCAAAGCGGCGAAAATTCTCAAGCAGCATCTGTATGTAGATGACTTATTGACCGGTGCCGATACAATAATTGAAGCTCGTACGATTAGAGATGATATTATCGCGTTATTATCCCGAGGTGGTTTTATTATCAGACAGTGGGCATCGAATGACGAACGTGTTGTTAGTGATTTGGTCTCTAACGCGTTACACACGAATCTGATATTAGATGAAAATCGAACTTTAAAGACATTAGGTGTAACGTGGAGCACGCGCGACGACCGAATATATTATTCGGCTAATCCAATCGGGACCATAGAAAGATTAACCAAGAGAAACATTTTGTCTGAGATTGCGAAAATTTATGATCCATTAGGTTTATTAGGCCCGGTAATTTTGCATGTCAAAAAATTGGTTCAAGACCTATGGCGTTGCGGAGTGCAGTAGGATGAATCTGTTCCACAGAGCATTCACACACATTGGTCATAGTTCACGCGACAATGGGAAGCGATGAGTGGGATCTCTTTTGACCGTAGAATAATGGTTGTTGACTATCAAAACATACAAATACATGGTTTTTGCGACGCTAGTAATATCGGTTACGGCGCGTGTATATACGTTCGCTCATGTGGACCACAGGGGAATGTTGCTGTCAGATTATTATGCGGCAAATCGCGAGTCGCGCCATTAAAACCCGTCACCATACCTCGACTCGAACTGTGCGGCGCGTTATTGCTGGCACAACTCTATCAAGAAGTGAGCCATGCGTTGCAGCTTAAAATCGACAAGGCCGTTTTTTGGTGTGATTCGACCATCGTATTACACTGGTTGAATACCTCCCCACATCTGTTAAAGGTATACGTGGCAAATCGCGTCGCGACTGTTCAGGAAATCACTGGTTCTCACCAATGGCGATATATTAAATCGAAAGAAAATCCCGCGGATTCAATTTCTAGAGAACAGTTGCCATACGATTTCTCACAAAATCAGCTATGGTTTTCAGGACCTACGTGGCTTACCGAGAACGAGCATGATTGGCCTAACGAATCTATTTGCGCAACTGAGGTTCCCGAGTTAAAGAAAAACGTATGTTTTGTGTCCATGCATGGTAACCTTGACATCTTCGACAGATATTCGTCTTACTCTAAATTGCTTAGAATCATAGCTTATTGCTTGCGCGTTCGGCCCACTAATAAGCATACGGGTGCGTTATGCGTTAAAGAAATTAATGAAGCAGAGATACGGGTATTGAAGTTATTGCAAATCACTAGATTTCCCGACAAAATCAAAATACTAAGCAAAACCTCAATGCAAAAGAGCAAATTCGCTGAATTAAATCCATTCTTAGACGAAAATGGTTTGATTCGCGTCGGCGGGCGTCTTCAAAAATCAGATCTCACCTTCGCGGTAAAACATCCGGTTTTGTTCCCCACTCGACACTGTTTGACTGATCGTATTATTCGCGAAGTTCACGAAAACCATCACCATACGGGTATACAAACAACGTTGTATAATATTCGCCAAAGATTTTGGCTACCGGGCGGAATGAGGTGCGAAAAATCGTCCGATCGTGTGTGCGTTGTTTCCGGTTTGAGCCCAACACAGTCGAATATAGGATGGGAAATCTTCCTGCAGTTCGTGTACGCGGGGCCTTACCGTTTGCCAACACTGGCATTGATTATTGCGGACCGTTCCATATAAAAGAAAGGAAATTCCGTAATCGGACGCGAATAAAGGTTTATGTATGCGTGTTCGTGTGTATGTCGATTAAGGCATTACATCTAGAATTAGTGAGCGACATGACGACTGAAGGATTCCTCGCCGCGATGCGTCGATTCGCCGCCAGACGAGGTTTGCCACAACATATTTATTCAGACAATGGCAGCAATTTTATAGGCGCGAATAATCAGTTGAGAGAATTGTATGCTCTGTTTAACTCGGAAGAACATAAAAATCTTGTAAGTAACTTCGCCTCGAAACATCGAATCGTTTGGCATTTCATACCGCCAGCCGCACCTCACTTTGGGGGGCTATGGGAGTCCTCAGTTAAACTATTTAAGCATCATTTTAGGCGCGTTGTGGGAGACGCTCTATTTACTTACGAGGAGTTAAGCACGTTTATTACTGAAGTCGAGGGTATCTTAAACTCGAGACCTATCACATCCATCTCATAGGATCCGAACGATATACTTGCATTGTCTCCCGCTCATTATTTGATCGGTCAACCTCTTACGACCCTGCCGGAGGGTGATATCGCTTCTGTTCCAGTCAATCGGCTGTCCACGTGGCAGCACATCACTAAGGTTCGACAAGATTTTTGGAAAAGATGGAATCTTGAGTATTTGAATGAATTACAAGTACGTAGCAAATGGAACAAGGACAGCCCTGGACTTCGCATTGGAACGGTCGTACTGATAAAGGATAAAGCCTTACCGTGCACGCAATGGGCGCTAGGCAGGATCGCGGAGCTATATCCAGGAGAAGATGGCATAACTCGTGCAGCCACGGTCAAAACCGCCACTGGATATGTTAAAAGGCCAACGAAATCTCTTTGTCCGTTACCAGTAGAACAATAAGCGTACATTATACTTTCACACATTTACACATACATCACATTCTCATTGTATACACACTGATATATAATATATTCAATGTTTGTGCGAATTCTTAATTCTAATAATAATAATAATATACTACATATATATGTAATATAACATATAATACAAAATATATATTGATATATAATACAAAACAAATTGATCAGTACACCTTCTCAACGAGGGGAGTATGTTACACAGAGCTCTTCAATAATAAAAAAACGTCGTGCACGACATAAACGCGTAGATGGTCGAACAATTATTATTTACGCAAAACACATGCGCGTAACGGTTTTATTCGTCAAGGGGATTTCTTCGACGCAGCATTGATCGGCGCGGCATCGATTAAAGGGTTGCCTAAATCAATAGCTCAGTTTTTTGTATGTGGTTTTCCCGTCATCGCGTCGCCGTGGTCTCGTATCCGTCGCCGGCAAGTCGTCTTAATCGTGGAAGGGGAAAAGAGCCAATTAGATGTACACCGGCAGACTAGTGGGGATTATATTCGTTTGGATATTATTATTCATTTTTAGAGCAACCGAGCCAGTCGGATCTTTTCCAAATCGCCGTTCAAAGTAAAATCGCGACTTGAAAGATATCGTAGCGGA